AGACAAATATATTTCCAGTTGTTCTAAGATATTTACTTCTTCTGGATTTCTATTTGGTCGGATTATCTTGGTTATGTGTGTGTTGACTCATATAGCTTGGATGTCTTTTCTTACATTCTATTCATATTTCCTTAAGTGGGCATTAAAAGATCCAAGTGTTGTTACCATTTGTTGTCTCAAATTGGAATCTTGTGCATCCTCGAGATTCCAGAAGAAGCTCGTTGACCCTTGTCATTCCATAATAGTAGGTGGCTGGTTTTGTTTGTGTTAAATATCCACTTTATGTATTTCACATTACATTCATTTAAAAAGAGAGTGTGAGCAATCATAACTGCCAAATTTCCTCCTGCAAAGATCCAGCAGTTTGATATTCCTTTGAAGAGTCTTTTTTTACATAGTATTATTGATTTTGCAAGGATAAAAGAAAAGCTATAAAAGCCTTTATAAAATATAATGCCAACATTCACAATTTGTACTAATTTTTATTATCTTCACAAGAGCGCATGCTAAAATAACAGGAAAAACTACGAGATGGTACCCGCTGGCATGATTTAATGGTCGACGTCTTGGGATTTATTCATTTCGATGGGATAGCATGCACTCTCATAAATTTGAAATCATTTTAAACCTGTTCACTGTGAAACTAAAGAGATAACATGTCATATTGAAATAAAAATGCATACTGTCTTATCCAAATGATTAATATTGAATGTAATCACATTAGCTTAGATTAATCAGAAATTATTACAAGTGAACAAGCTGGATTTGGTCAATATTTCAATCCAAGAACATTTTAATTGGCAGAGTGTTTTAATGAGACAAAAATGTTTGTTCCATTAAAATACTCTGCTAGAACCTGAAGATTCGACTCTGACAATAGACCTTAACATTAGAGCCTAAAGATGGTTGCTTTTATTGGCCATCTTTNGGGTATCAAATATGTCATACACTAGAGTAAGCCACTAATAGGGCCTTTTTCGGTCCTATCGTGAGTTCTACTAGGTCCGAGAAAGGCCCTCTTAGTACAACAAATACGTATTTAATGTTTGTAACGCAAATTAGTACCAAATTTGTGGATATTTTACGACGTTTTCTCGTTTATAATGATCAAAACATGACATTTCACATATCAATCGATCGATTTCTATAATCTATTACGCGGATCTGTCGGATAGAGCGCCATTTTTCACCTAGTGTCAAATTTTTGAAGGAGTTTTCTGCACTTATAATCATTTCTATTAAATTTATAAGTTTTATATAACTCCAATAATTTTCCCCCTTTTTTTTTTATAAGCTTAGAAACGTTGGAACGGGGAAATCTGAATAGAATATTTACATAAATACGCAACGTTTTCCTCTCAACTTTGACATTTTATAAAATAAATAGCAAACATATTACGAGGAAAGGACGAATTCTAACTTGAATACTATTGGGGGGGCATGTCACATCCCCGAATCACGAGAGGCAAGCCTCGAACGAGGTCAGGTAAGATTAAAAAAAAAAAAAGGGGGGGAGTGAAAGGATCGAGTCTCTTAATTTCGTGACCTTTTTGCCCTTTGTATAACACGTGCCAAGAGTTAATTTCCATTTCTAAGGAAGTTTCTATCATTCTAGGATTTAGTCAAGCCCTGTCTGACACACTTCCTACCAGGTTAACTGTCAGGAAGTATGTACGATATGACGTTATTTCTACACAGAAAAATTCGTGTATTTTAGGTGTTTTCTTGTGTTTCTTCGTACACGAAACCGAATTTGACTTCTACCCGTGTTTAATCTATATTCTAAAGTCCCGTAAAGAGGGGATACTAAAGGGGTAATCGCGTGTATTCTCATACGATTCGACCTCTAGTCTGCCAGTCAGTTTGTCTATCCGCAGCTACGTTATATACTTAAAAATAATCACTTTCGATGAATAATTTATCTGATAAAAATTCAAATTTAATTGAATATTATTTTAGGATAATAAAAATTCAATTCGGTTAGCGAGAACGTCGAATGCCATGAAAAAATTTTTAATGGAAGACGATCGGAAGAGCGAAAACGTGACGAGGAATGAAAACATTCACCATTTAAAATGCTTTTTTTTTTTCTCGTTTTTGCGCCAATGTTTTAATGTTATGTCATGAAAATTGACTTTTCCATGATCATTTATCTCCGCTTTGTCATTTTGATCGAGTGTTGCAAGAATCACTCTCTCTACAAATGCCATGGCTAATTTGCATACACGGGCGTTTTCGTGTGCTAGATTAGAAAATAATACGCCAAATTTAACACGTTTCGAGTGTTTTAAACACTCGAAACGTGTTTTAAACACTCGAAACGTGTTCAACGAGTGTTAAATTTGTAAAAATATTCGTCTTAAATTATACTGTTAAGAGTTATATATGGGTTTATATTGCTCAACACGCTTAACAATTCATTAAAGAACGTGACTGGACAATAATGACACATGAATTTTTCTAACGTCTCCTATTTTCTAGTAGAAAAATAAATAAATAATAATAAAATTAAAACATTTGTCGGTTTCCTTTACACGTTTATTGGGCAGCATTGGAACTTGCCTTGGGCCGCATGCGGGCCACGGGTTGGACACCCCTGCTTTAGAGATTTATAAGGTTTGTTTCTACATGAATCTTTAAAATATTGCTGCATCACAAAAACACTTTTATTAATTAATTTCTCTTAAAGAAAATAGTTAAAACATTATATTGTATACTACTAAAGTTTACATCTTACTTTGTTAAAATTTCAGACTTTACAATTCTAATATCAATTGAATAGATTATTCTGGATTACCACTTGCTCTTTTTCTATATCTTGCTTCTGCTATATATTAGCTAAATTCAAGTGTACGGGGGTAGTAGCTATGCAAATGTTTTTCTCTACACTCTGTATAGTATATAAATAGTATACAATCACTGATATATTATACATTGTCATAAGTTAGTTTCATATACAGTAGAGCCTCGATTATCCGACTCAATTGGGGACTGGGGTTGGTCGGATAATTGAAAAGTCGGATAACCGAAAAGTATGAAAAAATNTCAAGAGCGATATGATTATGATCCGAGTGAGAGAAAATAATTAATCAAGAGCGAGAGGTTGTTGGTACTAACGTACAAACTACTTCCAGGTTGTTTATCTTAACGAGAGGGCATTATTCCATCGACACTATCGCACGCGACTCAAGCAGTCTCGCGATCGATATTTCGCGATAAGAGATTATATTTCGGGGATTTCTATTTTTAAAAAGGGCATGGTTAATTAAGATCTAAAAAAACAGAAGAAAACGGAAAAACAGCAAAAGCGTAATCGTCGAATTTATTATCCACAACGCTCTGCCCGAAACGTGTACAGTATGTAACTCTAACTATCGGTATAGGGCTTCTTACCTTTTTTTGTGAATATCCATCGAAAATGCCACCGAATAACACATGAAAAAAGGCTCATTCGACGAGCCTTTCTATCGCGCGCTTAAACGTCACATTCCACTTCTACCGGAAAAATGGACCTCACGTGAAAATCAAAACGTAACCTTGCAAAATAACTTTCGCCCTTTAAAACCCTTTCTCAAATTTATTTATTTATTTATTTATTTTTTAAATCGCTTTAGGATTTTTTCCACTTTATTTCCAAGTCCTTCGCCGCTCCTTTATTTCTCACATTTCCTTTCTCCATTTAAGAATCCTTGTGGAATATCCCATTGTTGTCCTTGCAGGTGGTTTACCATAAAAAGAAAAACAATAAAAGAAATCATTTCCTGGAGATCTTTCGTCCTAACAACCAAAGAAATATCTTCGTTTCTTCCATGATAAACAACGTTAAATCGAAGTTTTCTCGATCGGATGATTCGATTTAACGTTTGACACAAGACAGTGCCATTCGTGCTACGTACCAGGGTTAGAGGTTTCGCACACAGACAATAATAATACGTTGTGTTAAGTAAAATACGAACCGAACTATTCCACCTTGTGATAATGCCTGTAAGCAATCGTAACCAGTGACAATAATAGAAGGAAACTAAAGAAATAACACGAGATTCTAGTGTAAAGAATCCACGAATCCCTGTGGACCGGATCTAGGAAGAGATTCCGGTGATAAAACGTCATTTTTTGACTAAAAATTAAGGAACCCTCCCGCGCCTCGGGTCGCTCTCAATAGGAGGTCCGAGGAGGCTGCTAGTTAGGAATACTTTTTCAAAAATTCTTCTAAAATTTACCAAGAAAACGTGCTTAAAAAAACAAAATGGCTAACCGTATTCTTACGTCATTTCTTACATCAGTAACGTGACAATAAAGTTAATTAAGAGGGCGCGACGATCTCCCGACAAATCAGCNTAGTGCCACATCACTAGCGGACATTTGAAATTTGCCGACTAGGACGGTCGGTTAACCGAGGTGTTGGTTAATCGGGGGTCAGATAATCGAGGCTCTACTGTATACTGTAATTTATAGCAAGTTGTAATTCTGTGCAAAATCCAGATAAACATTTCTCATCTTCCGAAATGAGACCTAAAATAAACAATTTTGGTACCATTTTTTTATTTATTGAATTGTCAGTATGTAAATCAATAGAAACTCAATTACCTGAAACTTTAGAGTATCCAAAACGGTTTTAAAAAAAAAAAGGGAATGTGTAGCATAGAGTATAATACACAGAGACCAAGCTCTTCATGTAACTAGAAATTACTAGGTCATATATATAAAACTACATTAGATTTTGAGTAAATTAATTTATTTCAAATACAACAATTATGTTACTATATTTATTGTTCCTAAAGCTTTAAATGCACTATGTTTAATGTACTCAAAATACAAAAACAAATGAATTTTTTGATTATTTGAAAGATCCCCGAGCCATCAAGATATTTGCATTTTCACTGTAATGACTTTTGTTTTAAATATCACTTTATGTAATTTTTATCTCATATACTTATTTGAAAATATTCTTTAATACTCTTCATAATGTAATGATCTAATTAATTTATTTGTATTTGTAGGTATCAAGTCAAACCCAGTACAGTCTGATGCGAGATACTGATTATATATCAGTTATTCATTCAAACAGCTATGAATAAAAATAAAGAAGAAAAACGGTAATTACCAAAGACTCCATCGTCTGTCTCGTCACAGTTAAACTAAAAAGACGATATCTCTATTTTGATTTATGCCATTAACTGTCCACATTCCAAAAATATAAAATGGCTGTGATGGGGTTTGACAAACTTTTTATATAAACTATATATAAAAATAAATTTTAAGCTCAATTAAAATCATTGAAAACTACGAAGAAATAGTTTTTGAAAAGTGAAATACGATTAGATCCGAAAGTTTGGTTATCTACTCATCATTGGAATTTCATATTACGAGGAAAGTATTCTAACATTCATTTCGAGAAAAATACTCAATGATGCTAGTTAAAAGAAACTCGTTGGTGAAGTTGCAGTCAACTAGGGACTGTGCAATGCTGATATTTAATAGTGTGTATTTATATTATCGAATCTCTTTGGAATTAATCATCTTTTAATTACATAAAAATATATATGTCTTATGTAAAAGCATAGGAAAAAAAATCAATGATAAGATATTGTGATACTGCTATCCTTTGAACAAAAATTTAATTAAATCGGATGATAATTTATATCATATATAATAAGTTCGCAAAGAAATTGTGCCAATATAATTGTGACAAATGACGAAATGGTTTTCTTTTGAAATTTCATACCAAAATAACGAATCGTATATCATTTGCTAAATTGAGTTAATTCAGTTTAAAGAATTGTAAATAAATTTCATTTGATGATGATATGTAGAGGTCCTAAATTAGGTGAGTATTATTTTAAATTTTAGAACATTGTATATATAGTGAAATGATCTGTAAAGTACTAATTTAGGAATTAAATTATTATTTAATTGATACAGTTAAAATTTAGTTTAATTATTGCAAAATAATTATATATATAAATTTGATTTTTCAAATCAAATTTAGTTAAATTAATAAACAATAATAATACAATTATTAAGAAACACACCTTTAACACATTGACTGCCGACTACAAATCATCTTATAGTTGGCAATTGAACAACAGTTGCCATTTAAGAGATAACTCTTATAATGTTGTCTGTCGTGTTTTGCCAGATATGACTATTAGATAGTAAGTAGTTATTATAATTGATTAATGGGCACTAGGAATAAAAACAATACAGTACATAAATTGGGCATTACAGAATAAACTATAAGGAAGTCAAAAATATGATATGAGTTTTCTGTTTTGATTGCCAGATACAAATATTATAATAGTAAATATAGTACCAAAGTGGATAATTTGTGCTTGGAATATGAATGACAAATTAATACAATGTCATGAATGGAAAAGTTTATTGAAAAGATATTGAAAAACATCAAAAAATAAAAAAATTATATATATTTATATTACTTGAATTATCTCTAGTCAATATCTGTGAAAGAGAAGTCACTTCACATGCTCGCTACGAGATAATTCGCAGATATTTTTTTGTTAAATATTAAATATGAATGCAAAACTATCTATTATACATAAAAATAAATATAAAAATTTAAAACAGCAAATAAACATTGCATAATCAAAATGTTGCCCAGGACATGTTTATGCAAAAACACTCATGGTAGTCAATGTGTTCCCCTTCTAGCTCTTAACTTTGAAGAATTTTTTCCCGTCTTGCTTAGAATCTTAGTTACAGATTGGGAGGGTGCATTGACACACAAACGCTTTCAAATTCCTACAAAATCCACTATTTATAAGGGAAGATATAACATTGTAGGACATCTAGACATGTCCTGTAATTTTGCATTTGGAAAAACATTCAACTTGGTTAAATTAGCTGTAAAAAGGATTTGATAGAAATTTTAATAAGCCTAGACCAGAGGTCGGCAACCTTTTTTCGTAGAGAACCATTTTTAGAATTATATTTACCAAAATAATACTTACTGAGCCGCAAGTCATCAACTTGAATTATGAAATATACATTTTTGAAAATTGAGCCTAAAACATGGTTTTTTTCTTTTGTTAAAATGAGTTTATGCTTTTGTTGTTATGTTATTTGTGCTTTACTTAAAGGTGCTGTAATAAAATATACTGCAATTCAATTATTTATTATCAATGTTACAATAGTCATACTTACAGTTATAAAATATAATTATTAAAGTAAAAAATAAGTGATTTTAATCATTCTTACATATAAATTAACATTTTTCTTTGGTCAAACAGTAAGCTGAAATTTCAAATATTTTATAATATATTTAACTTGTATGAACAATAAAATTAAAATATATACTTCATAAAAAAATAAAGAAAAATATATAGTTTCTAATGAGATTTTTGCTGCTGAATTTCTCGAGAAAGTTTGTCAGAATTGGTAAATATGAGGTTACTTTCATTTTCAAACAAGACGGCAGACTCATGGTGTTTGGCTGATTTCTTAATTTATTTTTAATAAAATTCACATTCAAAAATGTCTGTTATGTTTCCAAAAATATGTCAATCTGAAAATCGACAGAAGTCCAAAAGTATAAGTTTTTAATTGAATATAAGTATCGGGAAAACCATTTCAAGCATCAAAAACAACTTGATCTTACCTTTTAAGATTTTCTATCTTGGAACATTTATGTTGTTCTGCAAAAGTATATTTTTGTCTCTAAATTTTCTAATTCCGTTTTAAGATTTACAAATTTTGAATTCCACATTTCTTTGATTTTTTTTAAATTGCTAGTTCCAGTTGAAAAACTGCTCGATCAATATCACTATAAGGTGAAAAATTCAAATTGGTAGAATTGATTTCGAGCAGTCTCAATAAAAACTATAAGGTTGCCTTTTCCTTTCTAAACTCTTTAAATCTCTGACCAAATTTTGATTTTGTATTTATCACTAATTGTGCGAAATATGTTAATTCTATTAAAAATTGATACTGTTGATATTTCTTAAACGCAGGAAAATATAACGTACCTTTCTCTAAGTCTGCGGTAAATGTAACTTTTGTTCAAAAGCAAGTACTTCTAAAGCAAAATAGATGTATTTTCCTTCCCCCACAGTATCTTGTTTAGTGTGTTTAAATGTGAGGTTGTGTCCAACATAAAATAAAAGTTTTGTAACCAATTGTGATTATTGAGCTTTATGTATTGAAGATCTTTCTGGTTTAAAAATAATCTTACTTCTTCAATGCAAGCAGCAAATTGCATTAACACTGATCCTCTGGAAAGCCACCTTACTTTATTGTGTAAAAAAAAAAAGATCAGAATATTGGCTATTGACTTTGTTAAAAAGTTCATAAAATTGCCGATGATATAGTGGTCTTGCTATTATTTTGTTCACAATTTGTATAATCAGTTCCATAACTAATGTTATTTCCTTTGATAAAGTTTGCGAACAAAGTGCTTCTTGATGGACTATGCAGTGAAAAGAAAAAACGTCGTGCAAAATTTGTTTTTTAAACATAGAAACAAAACCTTTCTTTTCACTTTTTGTACTTGATGCTCCATCGGTTACAATTGATGCTATTTTATTAATATCGATATTTTTACTTTTCAAACAATTGGTAACCACAGATTCTATGTCCTTGCCTCGAGTTTGTTCTGTAAGTGGCAGTATATCAAGTAACTCTTCCCAAGGTCTTGAGTTAACGCATCTACAAATAAGTACAACCTGTGCGATATCATTCGCATTGCAAGATTCATCACAGGCAATAGAAAATACTGGTGTTTAACTTAAATCCGTAATCTGCCAACTAGTTACATCTGTCATACGAACAGTTCTGTCTCTTACAGTCTTAGCAGACAATGACGTGTCTTTTATTTTAGCAATTACAGTAGAGCGTCGATTTTCCGAATCAATTGGGGACTGGGGTTGTTCGTATAACTGATATTTCGGATAACCGATTTATGCACAAAAAAACAGTTTAACCTATTCGATGTTGAAATGTTTCTCCGTTGCGTGTTGCTTTGCGTTGAATTTTCGTCGATGTTAAGCCTAACAAAGACTATTGTATCGTTAAAAATTATTTTTTTATTTTGTACAAACAAAATAAATATATTGAAAAATATAAAAACAATAAAAAATTATACTTCAGATGTTAATTTAGTATCAAAAACGTAAAATATTTGAGTAGCCCAAGACATAGCCAAAGATTGAAGCGCCACAGCACTGGTGAAAATTTAAATTTGCTGACTGGAATTCTTTCGGATGATTGACTTTCGGAAAATCGACGCTCTACTGTATTTCTGTTTTATTTGTAAAATCACAAAAAAAGATATTCGGACATTTTAATAAAACAATCTTTTGCAAATTCACCATCTGCAAATGACTTTTCACGTTTTGCTATTTCTAGTGCAACAACAAAACTAGCAGTTGTATTGTTACTCAATTTTATCCAATTTGAAAATGTACCTTTACTTAAGTTCATTTTAGTCCGTTCACTTCTAAATTCTCGATTTTCTTCTTCTACTTTACTCTTTTCTGGCCGTATTAAATATTACCCTCAATTAACTTTTATTCAATATTTTTCTTTTGCACACTATAATATTTAATGAACTAAAGACAAGTAAATAAAAACAGTATAAAACTGCCGTACGCCAAGAGGATAGGATTGTTCGTGTCGCCATTTGTAAATTATATCGGGCGGGAGAAACTGCATTGGAGTGTTCGTGACGGTTCATATTTCCGATTTTAAATTTGCCTTGCATTTGCAAGATGTCTCCACAGGGTTGTATTTTTAGATGAAATCATGAGGGCCATGGATGAAACCGCCCAAAGATGCTCACGAAATATTACAATATGACACCACACCTTAAGCGTCATCTGCTAAAGCACTAAATTCTACCTTTGCTAGGTAGAATTTAGTGCTTTAGCAGATGATGCTTAAGGTTTAACATGTTTTTCTCAAGGCAATATTCAATTAAGTTTTGTTCTTACTGTGATAGTGAAGTGATAAGTGATTAATGAAATAAAAAAGTCTTTTTAAAATATTAGTGAAGTTTACGAGTTATCTTTTTCTTTTACTTAAATTTAAAATTTTATTTTATTATGTGTATATTATTTACTAACTTAAAAAGAACTGCAATTATGCATTAAAAGAGCCACAGATTCTCTGGCCTAGACCAAATTCTTTTCTAGCAAGACATTTGATGCTTACCTAATAAATTCTCTCCCACACACATACAATTTAAATTATATTTTACATCTTTATCAATGAAGTCATTCCTTGCTTCCAACATTTACTAATAGTTACTTGAAATTATCAAGTAACTATTATTAAATATTGGAAGCAAGGAATGACTTCATTTTTAGCATTAGTTTTCATTTATTTTAAAAGGATTGTGTTCGTGTTCTAGCATAGTTGTGGACTTTGGCGATATTTATATATATAAAATTTCAATACATTCATAGAACTTACTCCCTACTGCATATTAAAGAAAATGCAGTTTATATACGTTTCTTAATAGGGAATACTGTATAAACTTCTTTGTTGTATTATTGCTTACATCATGGCATTTAGTAATCTCTTGAGATTTTAAATATTTATTAGTAAAGTAATTGAAATGTTTAATATTTAATATGTTAAAATCCTGGATTTGTAGACAAATAAGTGTTTTAGTGTAATTTGGGAAAATTGGTTATTCACATAGACTGAAATGAGTTAGACGTTTCTCCATAAGAAGTAATGGAAAACAGTTTTCAAAATTTGTTTCGGAAATGCAGTATATTATCTAAATTTAATGCATTCACTTTTTTGATGCTTTCTCATACACAAGAAGTCATCTTATGAATAAAAGACGATCAATTAGGACTTTATTTTGCTTGGGTATCTGTTTACTCAATCATTTAAATAAAGTCCCTAGCATACTAAACCATAAAATTCTGACAGGAAAAGCATATTAAATTAATCACAAATATTTTCAACCTCATTTAAAGGCCATCTTCAATCTACATACTGTAGATTTGAATTACAAAACTGCTTGACAGCTTTTGGTAGAACATATTATACGCTTAAAATCCATTTGAAAGTTGCAATGTACTACAAGCAGAACATTTTAAATTTCTGGCCTAGCTAATGAATTAATTAAATATAAAATAAATAAGTACTTGTAAAAATAAATGTATTATAGTTTAAACAGATAGATTCAATGAAGCATTCTATAAGCTATCCTGATATTAACTAGTCTATGACTTTGTTTTGCATTAACTATAAACCTGGAATCTCACATACTGACTTTATTATTAAAGTTTATGTATCCATTGTTTTCGAAGACAAATATATTTCCAGTTGTTCTAAGATATTTACTTCTTCTGGATTTCTATTTGGTCGGATTATCTTGGTTATGTGTGTGTTGACTCATATAGCTTGGATGTCTTTTCTTACATTCTATTCATATTTCCTTAAGTGGGCATTAAAAGATCCAACTGTTGTTACCATTTGTTGTCTCAAATTGGAATCTTGTGCATCCTCGAGATTCCAGAAGAAGCTCGTTGACCCTTGTCATTCCATAATAGTAGGTGGCTGGTTTTGTTTGTGTTAAATATCCACTTTATGTATTTCACATTACATTCATTTAAAAAGAGAGTGTGAGCAATCATAACTGCCAAATTTCCTCCTGCAAAGATCCAGCAGTTTGATATTCCTTTGAAGAGTCTTTTTTTACATAGTATTATTGATTTTGCAAGGATAAAAGAAAAGCTATAAAAGCCTTTATAAAATATAATGCCAACATTCACAATTTGTACTAATTTTTATTATCTTCACAAGAGCGCATGCTAAAATAACAGGAAAAACTACGAGATGGTACCCGCTGGCATGATTTAATGGTCGACGTCTTGGGATTTATTCATTTCGATGGGATAGCATGCACTCTCATAAATTTGAAATCATTTTAAACCTGTTCACTGTGAAACTAAAGAGATAACATGTCATATTGAAATAAAAATGCATACTGTCTTATCCAAATGATTAATATTGAATGTAATCACATTAGCTTAGATTAATCAGAAATTATTACAAGTGAACAAGCTGGATTTGGTCAATATTTCAATCCAAGAACATTTTAATTGGCAGAGTGTTTTAATGAGACAAAAATGTTTGTTCCATTAAAATACTCTGCTAGAACCTGAAGATTAGACTCTGACAATAGACCTTAACATTAGAGCCTAAAGATGGTTGCTTTTATTGGCCATCTTTGGGTTCTAACTTCAGAATAAACTAAATGGAATGTCACATGAAATGCCTTGATTTAACATTTAAACACAAAATTATGGAATGTTTTATGTTTAAATGAAAAATAACAAATAGCTAAATTGAAAGTATTACAAATGTAAATAAAGTATATAAGAATGTGAATGGGTAAATAACAATTCGTAATCCACAGATATTGTGAAATTTGCAATGCCGTTTGCTTTAAGACGGTCACCTTTTGGAACCTACACAATAAGAATACATCATTATCCATGCAATGATTTATGCAGTTGCTTTGGCACAATTTCAGAAAATAAACGAAATATTAATTGAATCTTGATTTTTATTATTAATAAAAATAGCAATTTACAGTTTATTATCTTAATATAACTATAATTAAGATTAAAATTTATTAATTCTATATATGGAATATTTCAAAGTTTGCTATATATATAACTTTGTAGAGAGAAATATTAACACTTCTTCATACTCATAAAGAAAACAGAGAGGGTCTGGTAAGAATTTTCTTTACTTGTGGTTCATTTTTTGAGGGACTAAAGTTTAATTTTCTTAATGAATAAATAATGAGTATACAGTACTACTGTATAATCGTTCAGAACAAGTATATATGGTTTAAAAGCAGCATGTTGGAAATTCTGTTTATACAGGTTGTCCCTTAAGTCCTGAATTGTGGGAGTTACATTGATCTTTGTTTATTCTTTTACAGGTTAAGCATGGTGTCGAGTAAGGAGGAACAAATTGAGGTTACTTTGATGATGGTGTTCAACACTTGGCGAGAAGATAAAGAGTTTAACAGGCTACGTCCCGACTTCTTGATGTTTGTATACAGCCCGTAAACTCTGGCAACTCCTCACTAACTGTGAGTTTCCGCTGTCAAAATCTCAAATTTGTTTCTTTTTACTCAGCACCATGCTTTACCCGTGAAAGAATAAACAAAGATCGGCATAACTACTACGGTTTCAGACCCTGTATCGTAAAAGTTGAAGGTGAAAAATTATATAGAAGACTTATAATTCTAGAAATATTCTGTGTAATATATCTATATATGCTTTTTTATTAATTAATTGTATTTTTTATTTTAATAGGCACATAATCGAAGGCAAATGAAATTTATCTACAGTTTGTGTAGAAAACTCTTTACAACTTTAAGGAAGTTACTTCCAACAGTTTATGCAATCTTTTACAAGTTCTTTTAAGAGAAATATACCTTAAAAGAACTTTAATTTGCTAAGTGATTATCTGCGAGACGATAAGAATTCTTCTACAAAAGAACCTTCTACATTACCGTCACTACAATTCTCAGGAATGCTGAGTGTAACATAATTTCACCAAACATTGCCTTTTTATATATTCTACGTGGCAAATTTATTCACCGAGCAAGCGGCAGGCAAGAAATCTCACCAAAATTTGATTTGACGTCGTATAATTTATTAAAGTAAGAACACATTTGTACTTAGGTTCGAATCGTCGTGGGAAAAGAAAATTTATCACGCTTTAATGTATAGAAGAATTTATTTTTTAATTTAATTTCAGTAATAGAATACAAAGTAATATATTATATTAAATATTCATCTGATGGTAAGTTATCTTCTCTAAATTTTAGTATAGAATTTTGTACTTTTTGATTCGGTTCTTTAAAGAATACAGTTTCATTAGTTGTGACACTTTCCAGAGAGTAAATTTCAGTAATAATGGACAATACAAAGACAGTTCTCACACGTCATCTACGCTAAAGTTGTATATTTTTGTATGGATATACTGTGTAATAAATTCAACGAGGTACAAATTTTTTTTTTTTTAATTTATATATTTGCCATATAATTAGAATATTTGTGAAGTTTATTTATTGTCGTCATTAATTTATATTTGAAAAAAAAACGATAATCGTTCTCAATTATCGAATCGATGTACATACGCTCGTCTCTAAATTATTATCATAATTGTAAGTTTCTGTACAGTCGTCGTTCGTAGTTAATTGTGATTCTTGCGATGAGTTCTGTAATTATCATTTTTTTTTGTTACGGCAAATTCAGATACTTAACCGAGTAAAAATGTAGGAAGAATTCTACGATACTTACGTTAGGACTTAGAAGAAAAATCTGAGTTTTAACTCAATATTTTAAAAAAATAATTTTAGAAATGTGTGTATATTAACAACAACAAAATGGTGCATTCTTTGTAGCATTCTGCTTAAATCATTTTTATCTAATGAACTTGTCATAAGTGGGATTTTATGAAAATAAAACTTCATTGATTTTTATTTTGTTTTTCCATAAATTGCATGTTTTAGTAGTAATAAATAAATTAAATAATTGATTTAATGTATAAATTAAATTGTGTTAAGTTCTTCGTAACAATTACAACAACACCCGGGGAAAGAATTGTAATTAATCGCACTCTAAGAGAGAACAGACAACTTTTTGCTTGTCAAACTGACATGGAAATGAGGAGTACGTCATAATTCTTTTGCCGTAACATTATACGATAACACGCACTATCTATCTATACATTTCGGGCCACAAAACAACCTTCCAGATGTAAATATAACATTATCGAAATCTTATACAAACACTGGGTGCAAAATCGTTAGGTTGCAACAACGGAGATATCTTGGAAGAACTCTTATAGAAGAAGCATTTGTTTTGCTTATTCTTTTGGCTCTGGAAATTTTGTTGGTTTGTCTCATTTACTTTTATTGAAGGAGCAATAAGAATAGTTCAAATTTACAAATTGATTGAAATTACTACAAGTATAGTTTTGTATGTCTGTGTGATATTGAAAAATGTCTTTGAAGCTACTGGATAAACTTACAATAGAATTATTTACAAGGTATTATATGGCTTACAAAAATGCATGGGTTTGATGTAAAGGTGCTTGATCGACAGATACTTTTGACTTGTCTAGACTGCTGTGCAATACAAAATTGTTAGTTTGTTCTCAGTTGAATTTTGAATTTGAAGTTCAGAAGAGATATGAGAATTAGAATCAGAATTTTCACCGCATCTTTGTGGCTCAGAGCTTCCAATAATAAACGTCCCTTCAAAAATGCAAATGCCTCATCTTTGCAAAGCAACTTTTGAATGGCACTTGGGCATTTTCTTTGTATCTCCAAGCATAAACCACAGTTGTGGAAATTGAGATCTGAACTGATACGAGTTTCGTTTCAGAGAACAGAAATGCAAATAACTCAGAAGAGTGCAGTTTTCTGTAATTGACATCACTTTCAGAATTTTGTTAAGAGTCTCTTTTTCAAAATTTAGTATAAGTTTTATTCTTCTGTTACAATACAACTCCTCAAAGTTGAATTTCGAAAGCATAAAACTTGTGGCTTTTGTAATCAATGTAATTTTCCATTATTCAGATTTATTCTTTTTGCCAATGGGATACAATATTTGAGAAGTTTTCAAATTGTTCCACAAGATCTTTCCTTAGCTTTAATGAGTTAAGAAATCTACACTTTGGTGCAAGACCAATTTATCATTTTGCATCAACCCGGACGTAGCTTTATTCTCATTATACACTGTTTATGCTTAGGATTTTGGTAAACTTTTGACATCTCTGACATTTTTAGATTTCAAAAGCAAGTGTGAGAAACACAACAACAGAAAGATAACCATTTTAAATTCCCCGGCAGAAAACATATGTCATAATTGTAACACCCATATAAATATCTGCATTTTTACTAACTACAGAACTACATTTTTACATGTTCAAATGTATAGTGCTGCATCAAAACTTAATTGTATAATGGCAAGACAATAGTTTCTAGTTCCTGCATTACAGATATGGTATTCAACATCTAGACAATTGCCATTACTCTTAACAATAACTACTAATAGTAACATTATCTATAAACGACACTGGCTTAACCATACGTTTAATTGTGTGAATATACAATGTTTGACATTTTCCTCACACAGTTCACTACTGCAAAGCCTACAACTGATTGTTAACAGCCTATTATAACTATTATAGATAGGTTAAAATATGAAAACAGAAGTAGAAAATAGTAAATACTGCTTCAGTGTGTGGTGTATACACCAGTTTTTTCCGTAGAAAAAATAATGTAAGTGTCTCATCTGATTAGCAGTAGACAGGAGAGAGAGAAGAAACAGGATTAAGATAAACCTGTTTCTATGTTAACTGATAAGTACATTTTATTATTTAATACTGTTGTGACATCTTTTAATTAATGAAGCTAGCACATTGATATTTTCTGTCACACCTCACACAATCATATTTCATTATAATTAATACAAACCCTCAAATACAACGTTTTACAAGTGTATATCGGCCACTCTTTCCTAGTTACAGTACATAAATGTAACATATACTCCCTCTACAACACAAGAAAAGATAGATTTTCGTGTATTTACACGAATAAATCCATAAAAAATAATGACATCAATTTAATAATTTCCTTCGGTTCAATAATTGAACTTATGCTAATTATTAATAACGCTTAGGTATCACGTGCGGAAATATTTTGGTAAGGGGTGAACGACCCGCTCGAGGAAGATCTCAACCTTGACTTTTCTGTCGATGGCACTTCCCAAAAGGAATGTCGGGAGTTTGGCGAAATATTTAATCACACGGCGACACACAATCGCCGTTTTAAAATAGGAACGGCAACCGTTTGACATGGCCACGACGTTAACCCATTAAACCATACCCGAAATGTCAAACGTTCACCAATTCGCGTAACAAACCAATCGTTACGGCGCTTACAACTCGTCCAAATAATACCGCTTACGTAAAACCGCGCGCGCGATCGACGTAACACACGGGATTCGGTGTCATTTCCGGAATCGACAGGTTTAAACAAGCATTAAATGCGCGGATTAATAATTGATCAATTCTCGAAGAGTTTAAACGCGCGTTTTATGTGTATAATGTATATATAGAAATGTGGACAGAACGGTCCTACGACTTTTCCTTCTGGAGCGCTTCCGTATGAACTTTTAACCCAATGGCCTCATCTCGCCCGCAGCGAGAAAAAAAAAAATAATTCGGGACGCCTGTCACGTGACCGGCTGGCTGAGTATTTCGCGGAGAAACTGGCAGAAACGCTGGATTCGAATACCAGTTAATTACAATTAATTGGTGGTAAGAATCGAATTAATTAATAGCATGGCGCCCGAATTCGTTCCCCGTTGCCCATGACCCAATGACCGCCACTAATCCGGGAAAATCAGTTATATATATATATATATATATACACACAATGATGCTTTATTGCATCATTGCACGATTCGCCTTAAGTTGGTCACTCGTTACGATCGTTTTTTTGGGGGGGAGGGAAAATCCGTGATTTTTGAGGGTATATTTACTCCGCCGCTGACGTCATCCATGGATTATCTAAACTCTATTAACGTTTCTCGATGGGTAAACGTTTATTTAGTGTGTTGATATATTAATTTTAAAAAATTTGCTTAAATAAACGCTCACGTACAGTTGGAGCGAGCTCTGACGCTTCGTCTTTACGATATGCAAATGAGGAAATACGTCCTCATTTGCATATCGAAGCGATGACAAAACTCGTCGGGAAATGGTAAATTACGTCGTAGGATCGTCAATTTATATCGTTTATAACGAATAATGACGTCAGAACAGATTTATATACGGTCGAGGAACTTAAAAAAAAAACGTTAATTTATTCGATAAAAATAGCCACGTTCGCTTAAATCCTACTGCACCTTTTGGGTTTTGTGTGTCTTAAACGTAATAAATTCCTTGGCATTTTTAAAATTTGTATTGTAATTAGACTCTTAGGAGACTAATCTGGTGGATATATATATTTTTTTATTTTTAGATCACGGGTTTAAATACTTTCTCGCCCGCGTTAAGTGGGCTCATAAATTTGTAATGGATCCCGAAGGCATAGAAATTTTCGGGTGAAATTTGTAATGGCGTTCGATTCTTACGTCATACCAACGTAATCGACGATAATTAATTATCCGGACGACGGTTTCTAAAAATAATTTTACCCTTTTTGCCGAATGTCACGTGACGCGCGATACAGAAAGGTAAACTCGCCCTTTTTCCAGAGGTTACGTGACCTTTGCTGACCCGATTTACTGTAAGAATGCGGACCCTCGGTAGTTCTTCCCTAGTGCCTCGGAGGGACGTAACGTTTCCTTTCCTCTCTTCATTTCCTTTCAGATTGTTTTTTGTTTTTTTTTTTTTTTTTAAGATTTAGGAAAGAAATTCTTCCAAATTTCGATCCTTTCTCGAGCAATTGGTGTGTGTGTGTGTTTTTCGGAAAAATATGGAATTTAATTAGTTTTACACCAGTAAATTGTGTTTTTTTCGGGAGACAATTAAATTTGTCGTGACTTAATTCGTGTTTCTTTCAAATTTAATTCCAGTTTTTAATCGCTTTCTATAGTTAATTTTGTTGTTAAATTATTTTATTTTATTGGCTATAACCGAATTAGACGTAAAATTAATTGGTTTCTAGGCTAAATTAGATACCAAATGACAAATTTCCGGCCAAATCAATGGGCTTTTTTTTTTCTTTCGTTTTTCTTTTAATTATCATAAATTTTTTCGGCTAAAACTTAAACGAATCGCTACAAATTGGGTTCGAGCCGCATCAGAAAAAAAAAAAAAAAAATTGAAGTCAACGTTAATTCACTTTACCACGAAACGTTGAATAATCGAAGAGTCAAACAGTTGGCGTGTTGTTTTAATCCGGGAAAGAACACTTCATCCGTAGCCACGAGTCAGTTATTTTTGTTTCTGCTAACACAAAAATAAATTCCATACACATCAAAAAATAACCTTTTCAAACGTTTGTATCAATTAATCCTCCTTAATTCCGAATTAAGACCCTTAAAAAATCACCATTAAATCATTATCTTTTTTTTTATATTGTGTTGGACAGGCACGACTGATTCAAATTATAATTAAGTTATTAAATTTTTTCTAATTTCTAGGCTAAATTTTTTTGTGTTTCTGAGGCCAAAAAACACTCGGTTTTGTGTGTTTTTTAAAACGTTTAAATATTTAAAAATTAGCTCGTTTTGTATAGACGATTGAGGGTAAATTTGTGTTATTTTAGTTGATTTTGTAGTGTTTTAAGTTACAATTTAAAATAATCCCTATAGAGCGATGGTGTTTTTTTTTTTTTTTTATTTCTAGGCTAATATTTCGTGTTTTTTGTAACCAAAAAATTCAGTTTTGTGTGTTATTTTAGAGTGTTAAACGTTAAAAAACTCGCTGGTATCGCTAATCGGGGGTAAATTTTTAAGAAAATTCCATCGTGGGATGATTTCTTTGTGTTGATTTTGAACCGGCATTTGGTATTTCGTTACAATTACAATTAAAAAGGGTCCAAGATCTAAATGTCTAGGTAAAAATTCGGTGTTTTTCGAACCAAAAACAACTCACTTTTGCGTTCTTTTTAAAGCGTTTTTTTTTCGTACAAAACACGACTTTGTTTTTTTTTTATATGATCGGAGGACGATTTCTGTATTGTGTTTTTTCGAGGTTATGTTACCATTTTTCTAGACACCTACTTAACACCATTACCTAATTACGGATTCAAACAGGAATTAAGATAAGGGATTCGCATAAACGAGGGTGGAGCTCCAATAAATGCCTCATTATTCATTCACTAAGACACTAACACGGTATACATTCGCGTGTGACGTCAGTAAGAGGCCCTTTTTTTTCCTTTTTTTAAAAATACTTCCACAATTACTGTTTATATCCGAATTTTGTGCGAGACGCTTCGACGTATCGAGTCTATCGACCTAATTCGTGACGTCCTCACGCCCTCGACCAATAGTGTGGAGCGAAACAACCAAAGCCAGATCCACCACGTGTTTAGAGTGGTTCCTATAAAAGCCCACCTGTCCGACTAGCTTTAGTTTTAAAACCACGTCGAGCGTTAAAGGTAAGTCTAAGAATAACACTTAAGATCCACGTTGGTATTGTAATTAACCGAGTATCTTATGTGTGTTTAGATGGATAGGCTGGTGTCATTTATGGTATTTTTGGCATCCGGTGCCGTCTGTCTTGCCGAAGAAGCCTTAACCTCCAGACAGAGTTCCCCAGGACTAGCGGGCCTTTTCAATTTGGGAAGCCTGACTTCCGTGGTTTCTTCCATAGCTCCCATGTTACTGATGATGGGCATTGGGGCTCTGGTGTTACCTCTTCTAGGAAGCGCCCTGTTCTTCAGGGAAGGGAGAACGATCAGCTTTCCTAAAATAACACCAAACCTGATGAACAAAGTGACCGACACGTTAGAAAAAGTACTTCGAGCGTTGGAAGAAGTGGACAAGAAATACTGAAGAACAACCCGTGTTTTTTTATGTTGGTGAGTAAACTTTTAAATTACAAAATAAATAAACACAGCAATGTTTGAATCGTTGTTGAACTTTTACAGTCGAGTTGATTTGTTGCCGTTTATGTCAGGAAGGAACCAGCTCTACTGGTTTAACGACTCCATTTTTTTTTCATATGAATTAATATATCGGGAAGAGGTCGAGTGATTCTTCTTGTTTTTTTAGATGCTGACCCGTTAATATCACGGAGAAGACCATTTGGACTTGATTTTTTTTTTNAACCCAGCGAAGCGGGTCCTTGCAGCTAGTAAAAAAATAAAAATGTATAGTTTTATTAAAGACAACCAGAATATGGATTATTATGCTATTAAGTTATAAATATTGTTTTTATTATTATTTACTGAGGTTCGTAGGGCAGTTTGTCGTAAGTGGCCGGCCAACCAACGTCGGTCGATCACCTAAAATATTTCCCGGGGACAACACACTTGCGTAATCAATAGTTTTACTAAAATCGATTGATTATAATCTTTCTAGCAACAACTTTGAAGTAAAATGTTTAGCTCTATTTATATACATATAGTCCTGTCCAGAAAAAAAAACAGAAGGAATTAAATATGAAAATACTTTTTCTGATCAAGTATTTTAATTACTAGGCAATAAAACGATAAATTTATAAGATTCAGTTAATTCTCTTTCAAAATTAATTATAACAGTTTAACAAAAACTTTAATTGTTAAGTTTTAAGACATTTTTATAAAAGAGAAAGTTCATCGACGCAATAAAATTGCATTCTTTTCGTATTTAAATGACATCTTTTGGCAGTCATCTTCACGAAAAATAAATCCAATTGGTCTTTGAAGAGAATGAGATAAATTATTTAGTTTGTTTTAGTATTCCGGTATTCTTTAAATAAAAATTTATTGACTTTTTTCTGATGACATCATTTATTATAATAATAAAAAAAAATAAGAAGATAAATTTGATTTTTCTTTTTTATTTAAAAATAAAATATATAAAAGTGTTTTATTTTATACTATTTTAATAATNCGACAAATCAGCGTCAGTTACACTTATCTTTGTAACCAATTAAAATAAACGATAGATATTTAAATTTTTTTTCTTTAATTAATTGGAGGCATTAAGTTGATTTCCTGAATTACCAGTTAAGTTTTACATTAGAGAATCGTACCAAATTCTAGAAAAATAAAATAAAATAAATAAATAACTCTATAATTACACGAAAGTATATTAAATCTATATATATATATATATAAATTAATTAATTGTGTTTAAAATCTTCATATTCGATAGAGAAATTCGTACTGACCTTTAACAAATGACCTCGAAAGAGGGGTGGAAATCGAAGCGTTACCCAAATATCAGGTTTTTTTTTAAGCTGGTTCCTGAAAATTCCAAGAAGAATATGGAAGATAAATTCGAATTATCCCACCAAATTTCGCCACTCGTTTGAATTCTACCAGGTTCGACCACGTTACTTCTCCGTACACTTTTGTATAAGGCAACACAATTAAAGGGGGTCGATTTCGAATTAATAAATCGAGGTGAGCCTTCGGGAGGTCAACCCAGTTCCGGGTAGGGTATATATAATGTTAGCAACATTTACAAAAACTTCAAAAGAACGTACGGAGGATGATGTGCGGTACTCAAAAATTACAGAGGATGATCCGGATGATGATTATAAGCATCTTACTACTAACCGATTGCTTTGCCATAGATGATGATGATAATAGAGACACCGAAATGGCTACTTCTAGAATGGGTTTGAACTTGTTGAGTTTTATGGGTGCACTCGTTATGCCCATTGTTTTTATTATGGGACTCGGTCGTTACGCTACAAACGTACCCAAAATGTTTTGTTCGCTTTTTGATACCTTGGGTATACCCAACACTATGGGATGTACAAGATATAATCGATATTTCTTGGATCATTTAATGAGAAATTTACACCTAGCAATGGACCGATTTTCTAATCAGTAGAGGTAAGGTTTTTTTTAGTGCTAAATACCCATTATTTATACAATTGAAGCCATGTTTAATTGTATTTTTCCCGTTTAGAGCGTCAGAAAACGAAGTTTTTAGAAGAAGAAACTTTCTAGTCCGAGAAAACAGCCAAAATTTTCATTTATAATAACATGTAAAACGTATTTTAGCGGTTTTCAACCTTTTTTTTACTCGCCTATTCCCCGTGTGTAGACGATCCTTCTGGTGCACCCACTATACGTTCGCGTACTACCAGTTGAGAATTTCCGATATATTTTTATTGTATTATTTTAATTTATCGATAATAAAGTTTAAATAATGTAAAACGTATTTAATTTTCTACTCGTATTAAACAGAATTAACGTTATAAACCTGTGTAACGTTCATCAGTATGCGGTTCGTATCCGACGCGGCATAAAACTAATCTAACCACTTTAAAACCAGTTGGAATTGTTTATAAATAAGATAATTTAATTTTTTAAAAAGAAAGAAAAAAAAAAGCTNTGTAACCTTTGTCTAAATTTTTTTTGGGGCGTGTGTTTGTGTGTCTGTGCAATTGAAATGTTATTAAATACACCAATATATATATATTTTAATTTAAAAAAATGCTACATCAATTAGATCGATCGCACCCGTGATTTTTTAGAGTGCAATTCGGGTGTTTTTTGACGTTGTACGCGAGGATTAATGTGGATTTTTGGATGAGTTATAGAAAATTTGGGGTGGTTTTTACACGTTTTACACGTTGTACGCGCTCTATGTGAGGATTAACGTGATTTTTAGACGTACAGTATAGCGAAATCCGCTTATTACGATCACTTTTGGAACTCGTAACTTTTGATAACAATAACCGGCCGATAGATTATTTTAAAATTTTCATTATTAAACTCGATTTATTACACCGTTCACCCCTAAAGGATTCGTATCGTTTGTCCTAAGTGTAATTATCACAACCGATAACAATAACCGAAAATTCGAGTATAATAAGCGGATTATTTAAAACTAATTTCAATTGAGCGTCTAATTGTGATAACAATATCCGATTAATAACATTATCAGCGATTATAATAACCGCATTATATATTAAAAATAAATTGGGGATATTTTTAGATGCATCTCGACACCACCTTTTACGTGCTACACGGTCGAACCTGCGAACAACGGCCACCCGTTATCGAAGGTCGGAGCGTACTTTCGAATTTTAAATAGAGAAAACAAGAGAAAATATAGGCCTATATAAAAATGATTTGTTTAGCGGGGTGAAGAGAAAATCTCGTTTGGTGATGGTTAAGTGCACGCGCGCCTTTAACTAACGTTTAGTAAACGTTGCCAGAGATTTCTAGCTTCCAGCAGTGGCAACGTGGCCACACCTCTAACATCCAACTAACTACAATTGTTAACGTTACCCTACGATTCCTCACTCCCTATTGTACGTTGTACACCTTACGATCTTCACACAAGATTAAGGTAAGTTTAATGGGTGGGCAAACTTAATTCCTTTGGCACGAGACTAACGTAGTTTCGGGGTAAAGTGGGAGAGAAGGATGGGGTGAATTAGATCGATCTCCACGTCCATATTGAATGTGGAGACTTTACGCTCGCGCTTGTTTCTGTTATCTTAAATACGTTCTCTACTCCGATTTTATAATTGTTAAAACCGGGAAGAAACTAATTGTTATCATCATCATCATCATTTAGGATGATAGATTAATACAGAACACGTGTTACTTCAGTAATAAACACGTAATTTGCGGCCAGTTTCGGTCTTCTCGGTGTCCGTTAGTTATATTATAAATTTAAAAAAAACGGAAGTGACGTCAAGAAAATAAAACAACAAATATTCGAAATAAACAAAGGAACGTGCGGATTAGTACGAGTATTGTGTTAGTAAACACGGCCACTCGGAATCGATTCTTCCGCGCGTAACGTAGTTCGTCGATAAAATTACGACTCGAGTAATATAAAACGGTGATAAACACTTTAAAGTTCTCAAAAAGGTTCTGTAGTGGGGTCTTGGTAGGATCACACTCATTTATTTGTATAGGGAGTGCCATACTACTAAGCGAAGAATTTATATACATATTTTATGGAAAAATACTCATTTTTAATTGAATTTTGCATGTTTTTAATGTCTACAACCGAAAAAAAACTATATATATTCTCCTTACGTGTAGAAACATCGCGTAAATAAACTAAAATTAACGATACTCGAGATTACTTCTAATGGGATCGCGACCCACCGGTTGAAAATTAGAATTCGAACTTCAACTAATTAAATATTATTTTCCTCGTTATATGTAACTTCTTTTATATTACCTATAATATAATATTAATTATACTAAGAAGCCTTTACTATTTTAAAATATATAAAAGATTATTTTCCCGTAAATTTAGATCAGATTTACTCTATACAAAAATAACATCGAAGTTGTAACATCTCAACCTTGTCTATCCTATGCTACTTGATAAACAAACGAGTATTAGATTATTTAAATTAAATTGAATTCTAATTAATCGATATTTACTAAATTTAAACATAAAACTCTTAACTTTCAAGAAATTAAAATTAAAAAACCCTTGGGGAAACCATTAAAATTACGTTTTCTGGCTTAAATAGAAGGAAGGGGCTTGAAATCGATGACGTCGGTGAACACGTGATTACGTTCGGTGTCAAACAAGCTATAAAATAGGGCCTCACGTTACGTGGGGCCTCGTTTTTGTTAATAAAAGCAATTTATACATTGTCCATTATTGTTTAATTAACGAAGGAAGGCCTCTTGTCTGATTAGGGAGGGTCACAGCTACCGTACACGAACGACAGTAACATTAAAATACAGTAATTATAATTATTTTCTAGTATACACTATTAAAAATTAATTCAATTTACCGATCTTATCGATTAATTATATTAATTAATCTATGGTATCGTCGCCGTATTAATTTCCCTTTCTTCTACTCGTCCCATTGTTATCAAGTAAGGGAATCTTCCTTGGGAATAGGAATATAGATCCAAAATTAATGCCGTGTACAAAGGGCATAGATTCGGGAACTTAAACTAATTTAGGATTCTCGTTCGTAGTATAATCAGTCGTTTGTTTTTTGCATAGTTTAACGTGGAAAAATTGGGAATTTTTTGACCCGTTCGAAGATGTTATCGACTTGTTTAATCGTACAGGATGTACAAAAACATTAACAATCGACTAAAAAAATCTGTGTAAGAATTCGATAGATCGCCTATTGTTTCGAGTGTAGATATTTAGTTAAAAGAAATAATGAGTAGTGTAATTATTTCGTAAATTGTAGAAGAAATTACCATCGTAATGTATTGTTGTAATGACCCACCCGTGGTGGAGTGGATAACACCACTAAACACTAGTAGTTGGTCGCGGGTTTGCACCCGACCGCGTGGATTTCTTCACGTGTCTAACACCATTTTCCCATAGAAATTTCTTCCGGGAGGCACCCCCCTCCCCCCTTGGCATATCACTAATTTAAGATCTAGGATTGTTGTGTCATACGTTAATAGAACGATACTTTTCTTAGATTTGTATGTAATTTAATAGAAATGCACCGATGCCGCGTTACATTAATTAAAGTGTGATCCCGTTGCAGATGCCGCGCCATTACGTACCGAAAACGACGCGTGGAAGATGGTCCAAAGAAGCCATGGCAGAAGCAGTGAAGAGCGTCAAAGAAGGCAAACTTTCGCTGAGGAGATCGGCGGAATTGTACAATGTGCCAATTTCTAGTTTGCAAAGGAGAACGTCGGCTCCCGAAGGGATGGAGATAGGCAGCACGGGGAGGAAAACCGTTTTGCCTCCCGACGTAGAAGCGGCTCTGACGGAACGATTGGTTCATTTGTCCAAACGTGGTTTCCGCCTGACGCCGAAGATGATCCGACAATACACTTATAAATTTGTGGTCGATCATAATTTTAGGCATAGCTTCAACGAGAAAAAGCAAATGGCGGGAGAGGATTGGTTTCAGCTCTTCGTCAAGAGAAAACCTCGGATATCAGACAGATTATCTAACGATAGAGCATCGTGCGGTAAAATGAAAACCAGAGCTCAGCAGTTCTATAACGATTTGAAGAGTCTGGTGGAGGAATTCGACTTGAGGGATCGTCCCGAGTGCATCTACAACCAAGACGAAATTATCCTACCACTTAACTATAAACAAAAGGGTAAGAAAGAAGTAGAGAGTGGAGAAAAGGCCACGATCATCGGCTGCGTAAACGCTCTAGGATCTTACATTCCTCCGTTTATAGTCTTCAAAGGGGTCAGGAAACGGCTCGAATTTTCCAACAATCTTCCCTCTGGATCGGAAGTGCGCCTGACCAAACGTGGATGGATCAACGAAGAGGTATTCCTCGAATGGATAGAGCATTTTAACAAGTACAGGACACCCGGAAAGGTGGTCCTCATTCTGGACGGACAGCAGTGTTTATCCACTCTCATGTGCGTGGAGATGTGCGAGAAAAACGACATCGAACTATTGTTCTTGCCTCTATACACCTCTCGAGCGCTTCAACCCATCGAAGTGTCTTTCTTAAACCCCTTTAAAAGTAATTATAACCATTTTGCAGCGCGTTGGCTAAATTGCCATCGCGACAAAACCATTTCTAAGTTGACCTTCGGTGGTATATTCGAACAAGCTTGGAACGAATCCGCAACTTTAGAAAATGCAGTCAAAGGATTCGAAGCAACGGGCATCTATCCCTATAACCCCGAAGCATTTTCGTCTCTAGCCTTTATCCTCCCGGAACCGGTGCCACTTCAATTATCCACTTTCTCTACGGATGCCCTAGTTATGCCCTCTACTAGCACGGAGTACATATTACCCTGTCCACTTGAGGAAACTAACCACAATTCGGATGCAGCAGACACGCGGGAGGAACCATCTGTAGACTCTTTGAGTCCTATTGCAGAAAAGAAGTATCTTGCAGAAGTTCTAAGTAGGAAAAGAACTGGATCCAAAGTGGATCCGTGGAGAAAAGGCGTATCGAAATCAAGAAGGGGAAGAGAAACACAAGAGAAAGCGTGCCACAGTGTGTGTTTGGACAGTAGATGCTCCGAGGTGGAGAACTGTTTGCAGTGCCACGTTTGTCTAGAATGGTATCACGAGTGTTCCGAGTATTGAAAGAATTCCATTCGGATTATTGTAATAAAATGAATTTTTAAAATAAAGTATTTTTAAGTGGACTAATGACAAAATAGCACTCTTGTAATCGAGGATCCGCGCTGAATCCTCGATTCCATCGTAAATTCATGCATGCCGTTGAACCGGGATGGTTCAAATACACGCTTTGAATTATACTGGTTCAACAGCATGAATCTCTCGATTCCTCCTGTATTTACTACACCTGGCATTGTTAACGATTTTATGCATTAAAATTCGATATAACGACTTGTTCTCGCAAAGTCTGTAGTTACTTGAAATGATTATCTGATTTATTCGCTTTTGCCATTCAGTTCTTGATCAGAATACTTGATAAAAATCTGTACCCTAATGGATCTTGGTTCGAATTTCACTTTTAAATATAAATAAAGTAAAGACCCGACCGGATCTAGGAAGAGATAAACGTCACAAAAATACGTTAAGGAACCCTCCCGCGCCTCGGGTCGTTCGATAGGAGGTAGGACCTCCTTACCTCTGCACCGAGGATGCTGCTATATAAAAATATTTTAACGATTCTTCTGTTTGAAACGTAAAAGAATCTTTGCTGTACACTTTTCTGTACATCAGCACAATTAAAGGGGTGGATTTCGCATTAATAAATCGAGAGGTAGGTCAGCCCAGTTTAGTGCAGCAGTAATGTTGGCAGGATTTACATATTGAACGGTACTCGCAAATTACAAAGGATGGATGCTCTGGAGGACCCATTACGTTGCTCAGGATTTCAAAATGGCTACCGTCAGATCGAATCTGATTTATTTAAAGCGTACTCGTATTGATTTGACAAACGAAAGATCTCCCGTTGGAAAAAGTTACAGTCGACCCCCCTATAACACTGTTGATTTTTCCGTTTTATATGAATTCCATGTTGTAAAATGTAAGTGACTCGTACAACATGGAATTCATATAAAACGGAAAAATCAACAGTGTTATAGGGGGTCGACTGTATAGTGTTGGGTATGGAAAACCTCGAGGGGGATGCATGAGGATATCTTTTTTGGATAAATTGACAAGAAACTCGCATCTAAATCGATTTTCTAATCAGTATAGGTAAGGATTTCCGATGTTTTAAAATTAAATAATCAAATTTCTTAAATTTAAAAAACGAATTTTATTTATTAATTAACGCTGAAACTTCTCGTATTATTTTATTTTAATCTTATGTTTTCAATCGCTGTCCAGTCCGTACGAATTAAAAATTAATTAATTCACCGATCGTATCAATTAATTATTTTAATTTTCGACACCGACGCCATATTAATTTCTCTTTCTTCCACTCCTCCCATTGTTACGAAGTAGGAAATCATCTTTGGGAATAGGAATGTCAAGAAACTGTGTACGAGGATACCCGTTTACGTTGTAATCTGCCGTTTATTTATTTATTTTCTAGACAAAGTTAGAAGAATGGGGAAGAGAATCGAACTTTGACCTTCCCGATGTCATTGACTTATCTCTCTTACAGGTCCTCAAAAATTGACAAAAAAAATTTTGAAAAACTGTATTGTTGGAAGAAGTATAGACACTAAGTTATAAGAAATTAACGCATCGTGCAGCGATGCTGCGCGTTTTTCACCCCAAAATGACGCATGGAAGATAGTCCAAAGAAGCTCATGAGATGATGATGACCCGAGAGCGAAAGGATAATGAACCAAGAGCGAGAGGAAGATGAATCAAGAGCGAGAGGATGATGAATCAAGAGCGAGAGGAAGATGAATCAAGAGCGAGAGGATGATGAATCAAGAGCGATATGATTATGATCCGAGTGAGAGAAAATAATTAATCAAGAGCGAGAGGTTGTTGGTACTAACGTACAAACTACTTCCAGGTTGTTTATCTTAACGAGAGGGCATTATTCCATCGACACTATCGCACGCGACTCAAGCAGTCTCGCGATCGATATTTCGCGATAAGAGATTATATTTCGGGGATTTCTATTTTTAAAAAGGGCATGGTTAATTAAGATCTAAAAAAACAGAAGAAAACGGAAAAACAGCAAAAGCGTAATCGTCGAATTTATTATCCACAACGCTCTGCCCGAAACGTGTACAGTATGTAACTCTAACTATCGGTATAGGGCTTCTTACCTTTTTTTGTGAATATCCATCGAAAATGCCACCGAATAACACATGAAAAAAGGCTCATTCGACGAGCCTTTCTATCGCGCGCTTAAACGTCACATTCCACTTCTACCGGAAAAATGGACCTCACGTGAAAATCAAAACGTAACCTTGCAAAATAACTTTCGCCCTTTAAAACCCTTTCTCAAATTTATTTATTTATTTATTTATTTTTTAAATCGCTTTAGGATTTTTTCCACTTTATTTCCAAGTCCTTCGCCGCTCCTTTATTTCTCACATTTCCTTTCTCCATTTAAGAATCCTTGTGGAATATCCCATTGTTGTCCTTGCAGGTGGTTCACCATAAAAAGAAAAACAATAAAAGAAATCATTTCCTGGAGATCTTTCGTCCTAACAACCAAAGAAATATCTTCGTTTCTTCCATGATAAACAACGTTAAATCGAAGTTTTCTCGATCGGATGATTCGATTTAACGTTTGACACAAGACAGTGCCATTCGTGCTACGTACCAGGGTTAGAGGTTTCGCACACAGACAATAATAATACGTTGTGTTAAGTAAAATACGAACCGAACTATTCCACCTTGTGATAATGCCTGAAAGCAATCGTAACCAGTGACAATAATAGAAGGAAACTAAAGAAATAACACGAGATTCTAGTGTAAAGAATCCACGAATCCCTGTGGACCGGATCTAGGAAGAGATTCCGGTGATAAAACGTCATTTTTTGACTAAAAATTAAGGAACCCTCCCGCGCCTCGGGTCGCTCTCAATAGGAGGTCCGAGGAGGCTGCTAGTTAGGAATACTTTTTCAAAAATTCTTCTAAAATTTACCAAGAAAACGTGCTTAAAAAAACAAAATGGCTAACCGTATTCTTACGTCATTTCTTACATCAGTAACGTGACAATAAAGTTAATTAAGAGGGCGCGACGATCTCCCGACAAATCAGCGTCAGTTACACTTATCTTTGTAACCAATTAAAATAAACGATAGATATTTAAATTTTTTTTCTTTAATTAATTGGAGGCATTAAGTTGATTTCCTGAATTACCAGTTAAGTTTTACATTAGAGAATCGTACCAAATTCTAGAAAAATAAAATAAAATAAATAAATAACTCTATAATTACACGAAAGTATATTAAATCTATATATATATATATATAAATTAATTAATTGTGTTTAAAATCTTCATATTCGATAGAGAAATTCGTACTGACCTTTAACAAATGACCTCGAAAGAGGGGTGGAAATCGAAGCGTTACCCAAATATCAGGTTTTTTTTTAAGCTGGTTCCTGAAAATTCCAAGAAGAATATGGAAGATAAATTCGAATTATCCCACCAAATTTCGCCACTCGTTTGAATTCTACCAGGTTCGACCACGTTACTTCTCCGTACACTTTTGTATAAGGCAACACAATTAAAGGGGGTCGATTTCGAATTAATAAATCGAGGTGAGCCTTCGGGAGGTCAACCCAGTTCCGGGTAGGGTATATATAATGTTAGCAACATTTACAAAAACTTCAAAAGAACGTACGGAGGATGATGTGCGGTACTCAAAAATTACAGAGGATGATCCGGATGATGATTATAAGCATCTTACTACTAACCGATTGCTTTGCCATAGATGATGATGATAATAGAGACACCGAAATGGCTACTTCTAGAATGGGTTTGAACTTGTTGAGTTTTATGGGTGCACTCGTTATGCCCATTGTTTTTATTATGGGACTCGGTCGTTACGCTACAAACGTACCCAAAATGTTTTGTTCGCTTTTTGATACCTTGGGTATACCCAACACTATGGGATGTACAAGATATAATCGATATTTCTTGGATCATTTAATGAGAAATTTACACCTAGCAATGGACCGATTTTCTAATCAGTAGAGGTAAGGTTTTTTTTAGTGCTAAATACCCATTATTTATACAATTGAAGCCATGTTTAATTGTATTTTTCCCGTTTAGAGCGTCAGAAAACGAAGTTTTTAGAAGAAGAAACTTTCTAGTCCGAGAAAACAGCCAAAATTTTCATTTATAATAACATGTAAAACGTATTTTAGCGGTTTTCAACCTTTTTTTTACTCGCCTATTCCCCGTGTGTAGACGATCCTTCTGGTGCACCCCCTATACGTTCGCGTACTACCAGTTGAGAATTTCCGATATATTTTTATTGTATTATTTTAATTTATCGATAATAAAGTTTAAATAATGTAAAACGTATTTAATTTTCTACTCGTATTAAACAGAATTAACGTTATAAACCTGTGTAACGTTCATCAGTATGCGGTTCGTATCCGACGCGGCATAAAACTAATCTAACCACTTTAAAACCAGTTGGAATTGTTTATAAATAAGATAATTTAATTTTTTAAAAAGAAAAAAAAAAGCTTTTCCTCGTTAACTCGAACCTGTTAACCAATGGAAAATACTTTATCAGTTAAATTAATCGTGGCATCCCTCCTCGGGGAACCAGAAGAATAAAAAAAGAATGAGGCGTAACCCAAAGCAATGCAGGTTAAGATGTTATTCCTTTAATTCTAGGAAAATCACCAGGAAAAATATGATTAAAGGACTCTTAAATTACACCCGTGCCCACAAAGTTCATCGGTTTAGTTATTAGGGGGCAGTTTGGTAAGATGGGGTGGCAGCCTCTGGTGTTTTCATCACCCATCGACAATTCAAAGAATCCAATTGGTAGAAACCCCAGTCACATATAATCCCCCCAGGGATAGTCCGAGTTCTTGTTCCGGGAGTATACTTATATAAAATGTAGTTTTGGGGTGACGTAAACCTTTAACATCTCGTCGACGGTCGTGTTAAGGTTGCCTCCTCCTCCTCCATCGATAGAAGATGAGGTGGTACGCCGTGTCGATTTTTCTCCTGTTGACTCTTTGTTCAGCCGAAAATAACGAACAGGACACAGAAATTGCCAGTTTCAGATTAGGTACCGCCGTGTTGACTGCCTTGGGTGCCATCTTCTTTCCCATGATCATGACCTTAGGTTTGGGTAGATTCGTCGGAGAACTTCCCAATCAGATATGTAAAATGATGACCAACATCGGACTCGTTCAGCCCTCGGGATGTGGAAAATTTCATTTCCTGATGAATAATTTCTTGAGAACGTTTCACATGGCTATGGAGAGGTTTGATAATTTATAGATCAGGTAAGGCGAAGATTGTCTTAAAACGTCCTTGATACCTATGTAATTCGTAGCCTTATTAATGGATAAATTAGGCTTTTTAGCTTTGATATTAATAAGGATAAGAACTAAATACCATTCTTGTGTGGTACTTTATCGTATTGGATAGCTGTGTTCACAATTTATAAGTTTGTTTAGTTAATAAGGATCAATACATAGACTATAATCCTTCATAAAGGTTAATACGTAGGTAAAATTGAGTTAAATTTAACTAGAAAACCTCGATCTATTCGTCTAGATTTGTTTGCAATGTATTCTTTAATTTATAATTTAATAGCTTTATTTATATCCAATAAAATTATTTAATAATCCGATTAATTATTTACAGGAAACTCTACGTGGATGCCCTTTCCGAGTCGATTACAATACAACGAATTCACCTCCCGAATATTCTGTAAATAAAATATAAATTAAAATACACAATACTGTATAAAGACGCATGTATAGACAGATTTACAGTATAATAAATTATACATATTTTTATTTATGTTTTTTTTTTGAGTATTTTTAAGCTCTCTCTGTCACCCAATTTTGACCTTATCAACTTAATTCGTCGTTAAAGTAATTTTCTAGACAATTTAATAAACTTTCTATAATTAAAAGTTGGGAAATTATAGTGCCAGGGCTTCGAGTTAGATTAGGGCCTGATATTTTTACGCGTAAGGGAGAGGAAGGATACGTTACGTGTTACAGTTTAGAGACACAAGTCAAGCCCTGGGTAAGTTATTGTTGTAGAGATAATACGGAAGAGAATTTCTGAAATGTTTAAAGGATTAATTACAGTTTCTTCTCATTTAATTTCTTGTCGTTCGTTCCTCTTCCCTGAACTGTGACGTGTGTTTGTCGGTGGCACTTTCGTCACACGCCATTTTCCCAAAAACCGAGCATCTCTTGGAACGAACGACACTTCTCACATATACTTCTAAAGGTTAGCATTTTTATTGTGACTTTTCTAGTGATCGATCCCTTTTAATTTAATTTAAAATCTTTCAGATAAACAGATGAACCTTCTTTCGGTTTTCATTCATTTTTTTCTCTTATGGAACGACGTCGAAGCTTCGAATCGAACGTCAGAAGTGGAAGCTCGCCTCTTCCTCCCGGAATTTGGTGAATACGAAGATCTGCTGATGATCGTATCGATGATGGTTCCCATTATTCTCTATTCCATAGTCACCACCATGAATTCTAACATCGTTTCCAACACTCTGTTATATATGCAGAATTCTGGAACGTCCTCCTCTCATAGAAGTAAAAGAAGTGTCATTCTAGAGATGTTAGAACACTTGGAGCAATCTATGGATGCGTACGAATCCACGTTAAAGCGTTAAATTCTAGTTAAAGATTCGGAATTTCTTAAGTGCCATCTCTGTAATTTCTCTGTAAATAACGTCTGTCAGTAACGTACAACACGTAAATTATTGTAACTTGTATACAGGTTAAGTAAGTCTATGTATTTTTTGAATGGGATGAGGTTATCCTTTCTGATATATGGAAGAAAATAAAGGCATTTTCTATAAATCGTGTGTAGTTATTAAGCTAAGATTCCAGCCAAAAATCACCCGCGTGCAGTAAAATAGGGGAGTTAATAGTTTACCATCCCTATTGTTTCCTCATTCAATAGACTGTTAAAAATTAATAATAGAGGACAACGCTCTTTCATCGAATTCCACGCTATATCTTATACTAGAAAAAAAATGTTAGTACTAGAGCACATGTTTTTTTCTCTAGAAGCGTGAAAGATACAAGAATATTTTATTGAGAAGAGATATGTTTATCGTTTCGTTACATACGACACAAAGGTCAAATTACTCTCCTTGTATCGATACGGACCATAGCAATCGATCACTCCACCCTATCAATCGAATATAAAACCTCCACCCACATTATTTTCAAACATTAATAAAGATGGCGAGATATAAGTAAGTGTTCTCCATTTTTTTTCGGTACATAAACACCTCAATATCACTATAGGCCCATATAATTGACGTACTGTACCCCGTAGTTTCAGATACCTGATCTTGAACCTGTGCTTGATCTTTTCACATGGATCGGCGAGTGAGGATTACCACCATATTCAAGAATCCGATCAACGTCATATGAAATTCGTCCCAGGTTTGGGTTACGTGGATTTGGTTTCTGTTATACTCTTGGCATCTATACCCATTTTGGTTCTGATAGGCCTGGGATCTTTTCTGGCACCCCTCTTTACCATGGTGCCCACTTACTTGACAGGCATGTTGAATTCCGGATTGGGTTCCTCTTCGATTACCACTGCGGCAAGTGGGAAGAAAAAGAGGGATTTAGAAGGAAATATTCGACAATTACTTATCAAATTTGAGAAGGCCATAGAAGCCTACGACAAGAACTAAAGTAAGTAAAGATTTTTTTTTATATTGCCTTCTATGGTACCTTATTATCAGCACGCTTTATGCAGTTCCCTTTTGAAACTAGGGGTACCTGTATGAGTACTTTACCCGTACATATGGCTCCTATTGGCATTAAAGGTCTGCAAAGGGCCATATCATTGTTACGGCACCTGTTTTTATTTAGTTTTCTATAAATTAATCATTAAACAATTCAAAATTGTAAATATTATAATTATTTTAATACAAAGACGTGTAAGATTTGATATAAAGACCCACTAAACAGGGTTGGATTTACAAAGCTAAATCTTACCATTACGAAGGGCCTCGTTCGAACTTAACACATAATATTTTTTTTTATTATTATTTGAAGGATAATGTAGGGCCTCTTGTCTAGCTTTTAAGGCCCGACGCATTTAAATCCAGCTCTGCCATTAAGTGGGAATTTAAAAGTGGTTCAACATCGCACGAAAACTAATGACATTTTATTTATTTTTTTCAGGAATTCAAATTAAAATTCACCCCCCCAAAAAGAATAGAAGAATTATTATTATTATTAAACTGTAATTTTAATTAAAAATGTAGATTAACAAACTAACAAGAAAGTGTAATTAAAATGTAGATTTAAATAAAGTAATTTTCACAAATGTCCCGAATGAATTTTTACACACTTCAGGTAATTCGTAATTATAATTAATTAAAATGAATAAAAGCATGAATGATTTTAATTGGAAGAAAAAAAAAAAACTGGTGGAAAGAAACCGAACGATGTTTCTCCTAAGTGAAGAAACGTTAATTGCAATTAACTCTCAGGATTGTCTCCGGAGAAAAAATAATAAATAAGGTTAGCGAGTTTCTCTTCTTGACCATATTCGAGATGCAATGGGCATAACAACTAGGTCAGTGGCATAGATAAAGATAGGACTTTACCCGCCAGTGCATAGTATTTTGTCTGTCAAGGTCAGTAGCAAATATCAGGTAAGTCTGTCGACTGTCTTCTTCTTTTTACTTGAATTTATATATATATTTTAAACTTAAATTATACTTATCTCTCTCTCTCTCTCTCTCTTTACGTCACATCAGTGACGAATTTAGTCCACCCTCACCTCTTCTTCCATCTTCGTCGGTCTTAAGAAATCGTTCGTAATCCCCTTAATTATGTCGTGGAGGTTAAAATCAAGTACACGGGCTTATTTAGTGATAACTGGGGAGAAAAATAGAGGATAAGTGTAATCTTACATCATAAAAGAACTCCATCCTCCATATGGTGCTTACGTAATACTACTTGAATGGTCCATAAGAACACTATAAACAGAGCCGAATTTGTACTGTACGTAAGCTTAGGACCTATTACATGTATTTGTGGAAAGGTGTCTTATGTGTTCTGTAACAAGTGAGTTATTTAACAATTATTTCCCCTATATTTACATTGTCAATTGTGATTAAGACTAAATTTTGTAATATTTGACACGGTCCACACATAAAAAAAAGGGTGAAATATAAAAATTAATTCCCAAAATGCCAATTATCATCTTGCATTCAACGTTCGTGATCCATTCTTTGTTCATCCATGCAAGACCCATTACACTTTTAACCTCTGAGAACCTGTACCGTTCTCGAGTTTACCAGACAGTTATTCAAAACAATTTATAGAATCGAGTTTATAACACGAAAACTATTATAGAAACGATTTTTTAGAACATAAATTCAACTCTAGAACCAAACTGTATTCTAGAATTCAGTTTAGAAATCATTCTAGAACCCAATTAGTACAGTAGACCCCTTCCTATAACGCTGTTGATAATTCCGTTTTATATGAATTCCATGTTGTACGAGTCACTTAGATTTTACAAATACGTGTGCCGGGCCGTAAACGGCTCAAGTATTTGTAAAATCTAAGTGACTCGTACAACACGGAATTCATATAACACGGAATTATCAACAGCGTTATAGGGGGGATCTACTGTATAGTGTCTACAATTAGAATTAATTATAAAACCCATGGCTTTTGTATTTACAGAATGAATAATAATAAGATCCTGCTGTGTTTAATCTTCATTTATGGTATAACACCAGCGTTATCATCGAAGACTTCCGGTTTGGATTTTCTAGTACAGCTTTTTCTGGATCCCAAAGGTTTAGTTACGTTATATCACGCCCGTGACGTCATTAAGAACGTGTTATCTAATTGGAGAAAAGTGGTAATACCCTCGCTTCTCATCATGCCATATTTGGCAAGTAAGGGAGCATTTCGTCACAGAACCAAAAGGGGTCTTCTAGAAAGGGACATCGACAAATTGCTGCGAGTGTTGATGAATTATAAAAGGAATTTAAGACGACGAAAAATGAATTAAGATTTTTTTAAACACCGTACAGTTAATAAAAAATATATTTAAAATTTTTTTGAAGTTTATTATTCTTTACAATTCATGTTACAAATCATTAAGTTTCAACGTTTAATATTAAAAAATAATAATAATAATAAAATAAATAGTGCGCGCGATGCCAAGTAAATAACTAGGAAATGGCTCCGACAAATGATTTATTCAACTCTACAACACGATATTTAAAACATTTTTAAAATTCTTTCTAAAAATGGCTTCCGTCTTCCCGACACGTGAGGATTTTTTTTCGATATCGATTATTCTGTAAGGGTTATTTTCAAAAATTAAATATAACACAAATAAGTACAAATAAAGAATAAATAAGAAATTTTTAAAAAATTTTAGTGCTTATAAGTTTCGGAAAATATGCGAATTTAAAAATAGTTCAATATATGTCTAACAGAGGGCGCTATACGTTCGCCGTGTGAAGATGATCTCAAAGTTCGTCTGTTCGTTTTCACTGTTAACGCCCTCTGGAATATTTCCATTTTTTTTTCTTTTTTTGTTTTTTAAATAAATGCACTCTTTCGCTTATTTTTATATTATTAATAAATTTATTAAAAATCGTTTGCAATTAAACTCCATTTTAATTTTCGTAACTTACAACGTATTTGTATTAAAAAAAAAAAAAAAACGGAAAAATTTAACGAAACGAAGGT